TTTTAATTCTGTATTAAAATTAATGTATAACAATGTCTCAAGAGGAGAGCAGGATAAAGCTGTGACACCTGCCTGGTCCCACCCGCAGGAGAAGCCCCTGGCTGCACGGTGCAGGCTCTTGGCGTCCATGTGGAGATCTCGCTGATGCTGCACTTACTAAATCAGAGCTCTTCACTGAAAACAGACAAACCGGCCCCGGCTAGGTTAGGCTGAAAAATAACTTATTAAAAGGATTCTGGCCCTGGCTGGGTAGTTAAAGCATTGTACACCGAAAGGTTACGGGTTCGATTCCCAGATGGGGTGCCATATGGAAGGCAGCTGATCAATGTTTCTTTCTGTTTCTTCTCTCTCTCTCTCTCTCTCTCTCTCTCTCTCTCTCTCTCTCTCTCTCTCTCAAAAAAAAAAAAAAAAAAAAAAAAAGGAAGGAAGAAAAAAAGAAAAAAAGAAGGAGAAGAAGAAAGAAATAAATCAGCAAAAACATATTCTCTGGTGAGGATTTAAACAAAAATAATTCTGTAGCCCTGACCGGTTTGGCTCAGTGGATAGAGCATCAGCGTGTGGACTGAAGGGTCCCAGGTTCGATTCTGGTCAAGGGCATGTACCTTGGTTGCGGGCACATCCCCAGTAGGGGGTGTGCAGAAGGCAGCTGATGGATGCTTCCCTCTCAGCAATGTTTCTAAGTTTCCCTCCCCCTTCCTCTCTGTAAAAAAAATAATAATAATAAATTATATATATATATATATATATATATATATATATATATATATATATATATATAAAATAACGATAATTCTGTAACTCAGAGCATCTCTAGGAGGGCCAGAGAAGCAGCCAGGGACAATGTCCCAAGGGTTACAGCCAAGCTGGTCTAGTGGAGGTGCCTCTGAGCACTAACACCCCGTGTGCCCACACCATGGACCCAGGCCCTGGGTGGTACCACTGGGCTCAGCCTCTTCGGCCTCTGGAAGCAGAATACAGCTGTCACCTCTCCCAGGGGGATCCCTCTGGGTGCCTGTTTCAGACTCAGTCTTGCACCAGGGCATCTGACTGGTAGAATGCCCGTAGCCCCGCTGCAAGGGAGGCTGGGAAGGCCTCATTTGGCTTCTGTGACAGGGAGCGAGATTCATAAGACGGAGGTGCCCCAGATGTAGGCAATGCTCAGCGCCAGGAGAAATGGCAGTGTCCCCTCCAGGTCTCTAGCAGTCAGTCCAGCCACCTCCACTTCAGCTGCTCCTGCTCCACCTGGGCACTCACTCGCCCACCTCGGAGTCCTCTGGCTACAGCCTGCTTACCTGTCCTCCTTCAGGTCCTCAGAAACCACCCCCTCCTCACAGGGCTTCCTGCTCGCCCACACCAGGCATCCCAGCTAGAGGGCACCACCTCCTCAGTCTGCTGACAACGGCCTCGACCAGGGCACCGCCACCTCCATGTTTACTGTGCTCACACACTGTGTGCTTCACGAGGTGTCATCCCATTCGACCCTCAGACCCACTCCCACCCCCTGCCAGGAGGAACGCCTTACTAATGCCTCCATTGACAGAGAGGACATGGGAGACCGGGGAGATGAACGTCTCCTGGGTTTGTCCTCTGCGTCACTCACAGCGGTCTCCGGGGAGCAGGGCTGTGTCACGTTCCTTCCCCGGGTTCCCAGCCAGCTGAAGGCTGCACGTGAGTCTCAGGGTCCCAGGGGACACGTCCTCTCAGACTCCTGCAGAACAGCATTTCTCAAGCGTAGCCAATCACAAGGTGGACCTCGTTTGTTAGAAATAATCGGGACCCCTGATTCTCTCATGCGGCATCCGGTTCTGAAGATCTCAGGCCTCTGAGACTTTTAAATATATTTTTTTACTGATTTTTTACAGAGAGGACGGGAGAGAGATAGAGAGCTAGAAACGTCGATGAGAAAGAAACATCGACCAGCTGCCTCTTGCACACCCCCTACCAGGGATGTGCCTGCAACCAATGTACATGCCCTTGATCGGAATGGAACCCGGGACCCCAGTATGCTTCACACTGGGGACCAAACTCACAACCCAGGCATGTGCCTTTGACCGGAATCGAACCTGGGACCCTTCAGTCCACAGGTCGACGCTCTACCACTGAGCCAAACAGACCAGGGCAGCACTGAAACCTTTAAAGTGTGTTTCCAGAAATTCCCCTTCTAGAAATTCATCCCAAGGCAATAGTTGCGGTTGTGCGCAAAGCAGTCCTGTGCCAAAGGTGGAGAAAGGGCGCCCGGCTCTGCCTGTGCCATTAGCAGGCAGCAGTCCTGCGGGCACAGTGCTGTGAGTCAGGCCTCCATCCTTTCCCTTCTCCCTGCCCCGACCAGGCCAGTGACCCATGGAGGTGACTGGATTCCATCCTCTGCCTGGGGCCCTTCTGCTCACACAGGCCCTGCATTTGCCTATGCAAAGCCCCGAACAGCGGGAGGTGTGGCCCCGGTGCAGGCCGTGCACTGGGAAAGCCTCCTGCTGACTGGGACTTGCTGACTCTGGCCCCAGAGGAGGTTTCCTTGGGTGGGGCCAGTGGCCCCTTCCTGATGGTCCAAATGTGGAACCCAGGCCAGCCAGGGAGTAGAGGTCAGCAAGGAGACCCCTAACTCCAGGCCGGGGCCGTTTCTTTGTTGTTGTTTCCTTAGTTTTCCCCACGGCACCCTGTTCGCCATCTCAGTGCCCTGTTGTCTGCAGGTCCCAGGACTCGCCTCGCCTTCCTCTCTGACGGCTGTGGCCGGCGCCAGCCCTGGTGCTCTCTCTCCAGGGTCCTCAGCATCACGGCCTCCAAAGACGCAAGCAGATGGCCTTCCTTTCTCCTCTGTCCAACAGCCAGGGCCTTCCCAAAACAACAAAGACAGGAAAGTTAAAATTCCCCTGGAAAAGTCGTACACTCATGATCCTCATCTGTATTTCCTCCTTCCTTGCTTTAAACAGAATTACACACCAGGCCCAACCCTACTTTTCACCCCAACACTTCTCAGAAGTCAAAGTTCTACAATTCACGCAGCTAACAGAGCACCCGGAAGTCACGGGCTCCTTCAGGGAGCCGGCAAGTACTTTCGTGTGCAAGACGTTGGCCAGGACCCAGTCCTTGTTGAGGTACAGGGTGGCTCAGCTGTTTGTACACAGGCTCTGGGCTGGGAAACTTTGGGTTGAGTCCCAAGTTCCACACTCAACCCCTCAGCCTCTCAGGGCTGTGGACTGAGTCGTGTCCCCACAAGATTCACACGTTGGCGCCCTCACACACACACACACACACACACACACACACACACCCCGGTGTGACTGCATTTGGAGATAAGGGCCTGTAGGAACGGGCTTAAGGTCAAGCGAGGTGATGGGGAGGAGGCGTGATTCAATAGGACTGTTGTCCTTATAAGAGGATGTGACACCAGAGATGCTCAGAGGAAAGGCCATGTGAGGACACAGCGAGAAGCTGCCCGCCAGCCAAGAAGAGCAGAAACCAGCCCCGATGACACCTTGATCTTGGACTTCTCGCCACCAGAACAGGAAATATTTTAACCCTCCAGGTCTGTGGCATTTTGTAATGGCCGCCCGAGCTGACGCATACCCTGAGTTTCCTCATCTGCTAAGCGGGAATGAAACTAGTCCTTGCATCATGAAGCTGGGGAAACGCACAAGTAATGCCTGCCTGTCAGGCCTCTTCAGCACCTGGAACAGTGCCTGCATATAGTGGATGTTCGGTAAATACCCACGGAAGGAACAAGTAACATCCGTCAGAAAAGGAAGCTGTCAAATTTAATAGGCGTGCGTGGCTCTGAGCTTTTCACTAACCTCCGTTTCCTTGATCACTGATCACCGGCAAATGACAGCAGGGATAAAGGGTTTAAGGAAAGTGTCTGTGCCATCACGGTGTGGCTCAGTAGTGGAGGGTCAACCCATGAACTGGGAGGTCACAGTTCTGTTCCATCCGGTCAGGACACGTGCCCAGGGTGGCACGTTCCCCGGTCGGGGCCAGGCATGAGACAGCTGGTGGATGAATCTTTCTTATCTTTGCTGTTTCTGTCCCTTTCTCCCTCTCCCTTCCTGTCTCTCAAATCAATTTGATAAAAGAACAACATTTAAAAAAAAAAAAAAGTGTCTGCAAAGACAGTTTCCTGTCTTTAATTGGATCTGCCACTAATGTCATGTCTTCTGTGAATTGGGAAAGGGCTTGGTCTAGCTGACCTCAGGGCAGTTTGAGCCTCTTCCAGGAGGAGGGAAATGGATCAGAGAGCTGTAGGAAGCTTTAGAACCCTGGCCTCACTTTCCAGGCCCTCTCTCTCTCTCTCTCTCTTTTATGTTAAAAATATGTTTTTGTTGATTTCAGAGAGGAAGGAAGAGGGAGAGAGAGATAGAAACATCCATGATGAGAGATAATCATGGTTTGGCTGCCTCCCACAAGTCCCCCACTGGGGATCAAGCTCACAACCTGGGCATGTGCCCTTTACTGGAATCGAACCTGGGACCTTTCAGTCCGCAGGTCGAAGCTCTATCCACTGAGCAAAACTGGCTAGGATTCTCTCTCTCTCTTTTAAAAAAATACTTTTGGCCCTAACTAGTTTGGCTCAGAGGATAGAGCGTCGGCCAGCGGACTGAAAGGTCCCAGGTTCGATTCCGGTCAAGGGCATATACCTTGGTTGTGGGCACATACCCAGTAGGGAGTGTGCAGGAGGCAGCTGATGGATGTTTCTAACTCGCTATCCCTCTCCCTTCCTTTCTGTAAAAAAATCAATAAAATATATTTTTAAAAGATACTTTGAAGGGGAGAGTTTGGCCTCCAGTGGAGCAGAGGGGCTGGAGACCACAGCTGGGGGAGGCCAGAGAGGGGAGCTGGGCTGGGCCCTGGGAGTGGCAGGAGGAAGTTGGTCTGGGGTTGGAAGCCAGGCAGGCCCACCTTCCAGGTGCTTATGAGATGCAAATGCGGGAACAATAGGCCCCTGTCACCAGGACATTTGTGCCTGAGACTGGGCTTGGGGGAAGCACAGCTCCTTCTTCACCTTGGCCATGGTGAGACTGGGTTGGGGGCAGCCCCAGGACTCTGGGCAGGGAGGGGCGTCCAGCTGCACTGACCACCCCTTGTCCCCCTCTTTCCAGGACAAACTCAGGGAGAGCAAGCCCCGGTGAGTACTCAGCGCCCCGCTTCCCCTCCGCTCCTCTGGCCCCCCACCTAGCCACCCCTGTCCCGGGCACAGCCGTCTGGGAGGTCGCTGGCTATGCCTGGGCCCTCCTCACCCACCGGTCCGACCACGCCTGTACCTCCTCCACCCCGTGAGCACGAGGGCTCATCCTCAACTGGCTTCCCTTGGGCACCAACTCATCCAGCCACGTACCCGGGGCATAGCTCTCCCCCGATGCTAACCCCGCTGCCCTGCCCCAAGCTGCCGTCACTCAGCTCCAGGGGCTCCATCCGCACTGGCATGGGTGTGGATTTCATGGGTGTGGATGTCATGGGTGTGGATGTCTGGTTGATGAAAACTCAAGGGCCCCTTGGGCAGAGTTGACCACAGTCTGATTTCAGGGTGAAGACACCCCTTTCACCCTCCAAATGTGCAGGTAAGTGCCACAGGGGGCCGAAGGGGCCCAGCAGAACAGGGTGCCTTGGGCTGTGAGTCTCTCTGAGTGGCTCTCTCCTATGTGGCCATCACAGTCCATCACGGCTGAGGCACCAGGCCCGGCCTCCCCGCCTCCTGGTCAGGAGCAGGCATGCTTGGGGTGGGGGCCTGGCCCAGGGCCATCGGCTGCTCACTGGGAGGCGCCCCTGTTTCCAGAATGCCTCTGCCGTCCGCCCTGCTGCTGAGAAGAGGCCCCTGAATGGGCCTTTGAGCTGAGTGCAGGCTGAGGCCACTGTGGACCTGCAGGTGGTTCATTCTGTTGGGGAAAGAGAGAGGGTCATTGTGCTGGAAACGGGGTGGGCGGGGAGGAGATAGGGGCCCTCTCATCGGTCTCCCATCCAGACTCTCCGGCTCAGAGGACAGATGTCCCCCGCCCATCTCCTCTGCCCGCCCCGAGGACCAAGGGACCCAGGGTAAGTCCAGCTGCTGAGCCTGGGGCTGGGGGGCCGGGGCGGCAGGGGCCACCTGCACTTCCTCCATCCGCCCTGTGCTCAACACTCCGTCCCAAAGGCCCAGGAGGAGGAGGAGGAGGAGGAAGAGGAGGACAAATATGAGCTGCCTCCCTGTGCGGCTCTGCCCGTGAATCTAGCCCCTGCCCACCTTCCTGGCACCGAGGAGGAGCCTTTGTACCTGGGTGAGGACTGGGAAGCGGAGGCAGAAAGTGTGAGGGGCCGGGCAGGGCAGGAGGAGGGTCCCCACAAAAGGAAGAAGGCCCAGGCCTGGCCTCTTCCCCATCTGTGTTGGGCAGTGAGGGGAGGCCTCAGCTGGCTGGGGGAGGGGAGAGGGAGAGAGAGAGGGAGAGAGGAAAGGGGAGAGGGAGGGGGAGGGGGAAAAAGGAAAGGGGAGGGAGGGGAAAGAGAGCAGTGTATCCAAGGCAACAGTGGGAAAGCAGGAGGCCTGAGGCCTGACTTGGTCCCTGGGGCCTGGCCTTCCCCGTTTCTGAGATCCCAGCAATCCCCGAGCCAGGGCAGGGGTGCCAGGAGAACCCCCTGTCATCCCACTCACAGGCCCCTCCGGGCTGGGCCGGGTGGGGGCAGGGAAGCTGGCCACCTTCAGTTGCCATGGAGACGGGGCTGTCGGGAAAGCATGGAGCTGGGAGGGCACGGAGGGAGGAGGAGGAACAGAGGCTAGGTGGGGACCGGAGGGAAATGGGAACCTACATGGGAGGAACCTAGAGATTCTATGCTGTGTCTGTTCCAGATCACTCAGGCCCCCACGGCCCATCCGAGTCTCTGCCGCCACCGCAGCCCCAGCCCCAGGCTCTGCCCCAGCCCGCGATGGTGAACAGCCTCCCTCAGTCCCTCCTTCCCGCCCGCCTGCCCCACCGCCCCATCCCAGGCTCCCATTTCCCAGCGAACAAACCTAAGAGGCATCTCATTTGCAAGATTCCCCCACATCTGCCCTCCAGAGGCCCCTAACAAATAAGGCATCAGAAGCCCACGCCCTGTGAGCAGCCGCCTCTCCCACCTGCCTGGCCCTCCCACCTCCCAGCCAGCCCCACCCAGGACTCCGCTGGGAAGAGGGGTGTGTGTGGGGGAGACAAGAGGCGCTGTCACCCCTCCCTGGACCCTGGGGCCTGAGGACCCCTCCCTGCCAGAGAGGAAAGAAACCCCCGCTCAGCTGCCCGTCGCCCCAGCTCTCCAGGTCCCGCTAGGGACTTTGAAAGCTGCCGCTTTCAGCACATACTTTGTGGGAATCAAAAGGAAAACTGGGAGAGGTTGACAACAAAGACAGAGTCTCAGCATGGAGGCAGGCGCAGGGAAGAGCCGCCCCCTCTGTACGCTAACAGCTCTGGGCTGCAGGGTTTTCTAAGCAGCACAAATCCACATTGGCCTGGCATCCTTGTCCTCCCCATGCCTCGATCCCCCCCCCCCCACCCTCACTCACGGTCCTCCCTCCCTGCTTCTGTGTCCACAGCTGATGGCAGCCCTGAGCCTGCGGGAGGCCATGATGCTGGGCCAAGCCTCTGGGAGGCGAGGTAAAGGGAGTGTTCTCTCTCTTTCTGGGGGGCCCGCACTCCCCTGCCCTGAGAAGGGCGATCCGGCCCCACAGGGGGAGAGTCAGCTGCCGGCTAGTGGTCTCATGATGGCCCTGGTCACTGCCCTTCCCTCGCTGCCCCCCCGTTCTCACCTGCCCACCGCTAAGGCAGGCCGTTGAGGAGACTGAGGTCCCAGACACGAAACGCTTTGCCTGAGATCACACAGGAGCTGAGCCCACACCCGCTGTGGCCTCCGGGTCAGGGGTGGGCACACTGGTGGTCTCCTCTGCTGAGGAGACACACGAATGCCATCCCCCGTCAAAGGGCCTTTGGCCAGCAGTCTCTGACTCTATTCATGTCCTATTGCCACCTCTGCCCGGGGACTTTCCCCCAAGGTCACTGCCCGTGGGCCTGTGACCCGCAGCCTAGCTGTCAAGAGGGGCCTCGGCCAGTATTTTTTGTCTGAAAGTGGCCCCAGGCGGGCAGCCTCCTCCTGCCCGAGGTCAGACAGCTACCCTGAGGCACAGTGACTGGCTCAGTGGTGGGTAAACCTTCGTGACCTTGAGGGGTTCCGATTTTTGGAACAGCCCAATGTCCTTTGGAGCCAAGCCTGGCGAATGGGTTGGGAGGTCAAGTCGGCTAACAGCCTGGGCTGTGAAGGGAGGCAAGTGGGGGGGGTGGGGGGAGGAGACACACTTTGCCAGGGGGGGGGGGCAGGGCTGGCTCCGAGGACACCCTCCGAGAAGCCCCAGCCGAGGTGTCCCGCCATTCCTCTCCCTCCGCGCTGACTGGTGTCCTCTCCTTTCCCTCAGAACTGAGCGCACCAGCCCCGGAGGTGAGCAGCCCCTCCCTCCCCGCCCCCCTCTCGCTAAGAAGCTGGCGGGTTGGGGAGGAGTGCCCGGGGAGGGCCAGGAAATGTCCCTAAAACCCAGGGAAAAGGCCCAGAGCTGACCCCCTCCCTGTGGGCCACAGTGGTCCTGAGGGTCCACTCAGAGCTACCGGGAAGGGCCTCGCCACAGCTCCTCCTGGTCACCCCGTCCTCTGAGAGCTCGGCCCGTAGGGGGTCCCCTTCCAGGCAAAGGAGCAATGTTAATCACTCCAGCTGGCCCCCAGAGAGGCTCGCCTTGTGAGGGAAGTGAGGAGCAATAGTCCTCCCCACAGCGATGCTCTGCCGTCCTCCCTCACCGCCCCAGCCCGGGGCCCACACAGCCTCTCTGTCAGGTGCCCGGCTCCGCGCAGCCCTGTGAGGAGGACCTCTACCTGGAGTGTGAGCCCAGTCCCGGTGAGCACCGCCCTGCCCCGGGCCAGCCGCTGAGGCCCAGCTCCCGACTCCTTTCCCCGCTTCTCACCACCCGTTTGCCTCCGACACACGGGGACACACAGGGACACGCACAGGGACACACACGGGGACACACATGGACACACACAGGGATACACACAGGGATACACACGGGGACACACAGGGACACACACGGGAACACACATAGGGGCACACACGGGGACACACAGGGACACACACGGGAACACACATAGGGGCACACACGGGGACACACAGGGACACACACGGGGACACACAGGGACACGCACAGGGACACACACAGGGACACGCACAGGGACACGCACAGGAACATGGACACGCACAGGGACACACACATGGACACACACAGGGATACACACGGGGACACACAGGGACACACACGGGAACACACATAGGGGCACACACGGGGACACACAGGGACACACACGGGGACACACAGGGACACACATGGGGATACACAGGGACACGCACAGGGACACACATGGACACGCACAGGGACATGGACACGCACAGGGACACACACATGGACATGCACAGGGACACACACGGGGAAACACACGGGGACACACAGGGACACGCACAGGGACACACACAGGGACACACACAGGGACACGCACAGGAACATGGACACGCACAGGGACACACACAGGGACATGCACAGGGACACGCACAGGGACACACACATGGACACGCACAGGAACATGGACACGCACAGGGACACACACATGGACGTGCACAGGGACACACACGGGGAAACACACGGGGACACACAGGGACACGCACAGGAACATGGACACGCACAGGGACACACACATGGACATGCACAGGGACACACACAGGGACACGCACAGGAACATGGACACGCACAGGGACACGCACATGGACACGCACAGGGACACGCACAGGAACATGGACACGCACAGGGACACACACAGGGACACGCACAGGAACATGGACACGCACAGGGACACGCACATGGACACGCACAGGGACACACACGGGGAAACACACGGGGACACACAGGGACACGCACAGGGACACGCACATGGACACGCACAGGGACATGGACACGCACAGGGACACACACATGGACACGCACAGGGACACACGGACACACAGGCTTCCACCGTTGGTGCAGGTTGATCCGCTGTGACCACAGGGAGGGCCCAGAGAGCAGCGCTGTGTGTGGGCTCCCCAGCGGCCGCCTGGCTGGACGGCTTCCCAGAGAGGCCCTGGGAGAAGCAGGCCCTGCGAGGTCAGCCCTCCAGGCCTGCTCCCAGCCCAGCAACCTGCCCTCTCTTTCAGTCCCTGCCCGGCCTCAGGCTCTGAGCTCCCAAGCCCTGATGCCCCCAGCCCCTCTGCCAAGGATATCGGCAGTGCTCAGGTGAGTGCCTACCAGGGTGTGTGTGTGCGCACATGTGTCCGTGTGTGTACATGCGCGCATGTGTGTGTGTGTGTGTGTGTGTGTGTGTGTGTGTGCCTGAGAGAGAGAGAGAGTCATGCACTCGGGCTTCCCCAGCCCTGGCCCTGGGACCTCTGGGTGGCCTGGGCCTTTCATTTTGAAGGAAGTAAAGACCCTGAGCTCTGTTTCCCAACTTTCTCCCCACAGGCCCCCCACGGCCCCCCAGGAAGCTCAGGGTGTAAGAGGCTGCTGCTCTGGGGGGGATTGAGCTGGGAGGGAGGGAGGGAGGCTCAGGGTGGGACCTCAGGCCCAGAGAAGCCAAGTCTCTCCTGACCAGCCCTCCTATGTCCCAGGGAGCAGTGAACGCCACCTCCAAAGGTGAGTACAGGCACCTTCAGTGAGAACCCAGGAGTCCTGGCCGGCCCTTCCCAGCCGCAGCCCGGCACACCCCGCTTTGCTGAGGGGGTCCCCGCAGCTCTGCTTCCAGTGGCCATTTCCCAGGGCCTGCGTCAAAGCAGGAAGCTACCAGCGTGTCCCTCCAGCTCGCCCCTCGATTGGAGGTCACGTGTGGCTCCCTGGTGGGTCCCAACAGAGCCCAGGAGAGGAGAGGAGAGGAGAGGAGAGGAGAGGAGAGGAGAGGAGGGGTGACACGCCGGGAGCCCTGCTTTGGGTTTCAGCCCTAAGCACACCCCCCTGCAGCCTCCCAAGCCCCTGAAGCTGTGCTCCACGCCTCCTTTGTCTAACCCTCCCAGCCCAGCCCTGCAATCTGCTCCCAGCAGGAAGGAGCTCCTCTCTTGCCCCCGCAGCCCCCACCGGAAGAAGCTCCGCTGCAGAGGTGAGGAGGGGCTGGGAGAGGGCGGGCCGGTGCCCACCACGGCAGGAACACGTGCGTGTGGCACGGGGCTGGGTACCGGCACCGGCATATCTGTGTTCAGCTTGCACAGACTCGGCCTGGGAAGGCAGCTGTGAACACAAATCACTCCCCACGGGGTTCTCTGCTCCCCACCCCCACCCAGTGCCCCAACACACACATCTCTGAGCGTGTGTGTATGTGTGTGTGTACGCGTGTGTGCGCAGGACGGCAGCCTGCTGGGTCAGCCGTGGTACTCGGAGAACTGTGACCGTCATGCTGTCGAGAGTGCCCTGCTCCGATGCCAAAAGGTGGGCAGGGCCCCCCGGGGCCTCTCAGAAACCCCTTCCGCTCACGGGCTGCGGGGCTGAGCAGGCAGGGACTGCAGGGGGAGGGTGGGGGCGGCCATCGAGGGTCAGGGCTGCAGGTGGACGGCGACGGGCGAGGCTGATGGCCAGGTCTCCTCCGCAGGACGGGGCCTACACCGTGCGCCCCAGCTCGGGGCCTCGCAGCTCGCAGCCCCTCACCCTGGCGGTGCTGCTCCACGGCCGGGTCTTCAACATCCCCATCCGGCGGCTGGATGGCGGGCACTACTACGCCCTGGGCCGGGAGGGCAGGAGCCACGAGGAGGTGGGTGCTGGGGGGGCAGGGTCACAGCAGAGAAGTGCCCTGGGCCCCGCCAGGAGGATCTGCCTGGGGAACTCTCCTTTGGGTGCAAATGATAACGGCCAGGGACCTTCCCAGAGGCCCACCTCCCTGGGGGGGAGGGTCCCGGGGGGTAGTGAACCTGCTGGGAGGAGGCAGGGCACAGGTGGTTCAGACGCCTGTCTGTGCCAGGACCCACCTGATGCCCAGCCCTTGCAAACTAGAGACAATCACCGGCCACTCGGCTGGCATGAGGGGGGCCAGGGGCAGGTTCCCAGAGGTATTGCCATCTGGCCTTGGAAATATGCTGTGACCAACAGCATGCCCATGCGTGTAGTCACAGGAACGTTGTGTAGGGCCTGGAATCGGGCAACAAAATGGCAGGGGAGCCTCATGAGACAAACGGGAAGGAACGTGCTTTATAAAAACGTCAACAAGCCCCCTCCCCAGAGGCCGGCAGTCCCCTCAGGACGGTTCTCCCAGCATGAGCCCCGGGGCCTCACTGGTGCCTGCCTCTCCGCAGCGCTTCTCCTCCGTGGCGGCCATGGTCCAGCACTACATGCAGCAGCCCCTGCCCCTCGTGGACAGACACAGTGGCAGCCGGCAACTCACCTGTCTGCTCTTCCCCACCAAGCCCTGACAGCCAGCGACGCCCACACCTTCCGCTGGCCCCAGCGGTTGCTCCTTGCCCCCCCTTCTGTCCACCTCGGGTTGTCTCCCTCTCTCCCCTCTCCCCTCCCTCCTCCTCCCTTGCCCCAGGCTCTGCGGGCCCAGATGAGAGGCATCGGGAAAGGTTGCCCAGAATCAGAAAGGGTCCCAAGACGCCATGCCACGCTCCCCCAGAGCCTGACCCTGTGCTCTCTGCCTCTCCGAGGCCAAGGCCGGGAGGCAGGGTCAGGCAGGCCCCAGTCCCAGCCCCCAGGATGGCCGTGGCCAGCCTGTGACTAGGGCTCCCAAGCTGCTCTGATGAAGGCCTGTCTGCTCAGGGAACTGAGCCTCTCGGGAATAGCCAGGCACTGCGGGGACAAAGAGAATCCTCTGGGGGGCTTACCACAGGGCTGGCTTCTGGGGGGACTTGATTGCCCTGCACTATTTTGCTCTCAATAAATATTTGTTGAACCCTAGCTGGTTTGGCTCGGTGGATATGCCTGCAGATGGTTGGATTCCGGTCAAGGGCACATGCCTGGGGTTTCGGGCTCATCCCCAGTAGGGGGTGTGGAGGAGGCAGCCAATCAATGATTCTCTCTTTATCACTGATGTTTCTATCTCTCCCTATCTGAAATCAATAAAAATATGTTTAAGATAATTATAATAAATATTTGTTGAATAAATTCTTGAATTTGCCGAAACCGGTTTGGCTCAGTAATAGAGCGTCGGCCTGCAGACTGAAAGGTCCCAGGTTCAATTCTGGTCAAAGGGCATCTACCTTGGTTGCAGGCACATCCCCAGTGGGGGGGTGCAGGAGACAGCTGATCGATGATTCTCTCCCATGGATGTTTCTAACGCTCTGTCCCTCTTCCTTTCTGTAAAAAAATCAATAAAATATATATTTTTTTAAATTCTTTAATTTGCTTAGCGAAGCAGAGGTGGCCTCCGTGAGGCTGGGAGTTCTCAGGTGTCCCAGGGCACAGACCAGGCCTGGCAGCCACAGAGCAGGGTGGCCAGCCCCCACTCTGCACCCTGACAGGGCCTCTGCCCTTAGATGGTCTGTGTGGAGGGGCAGGGAGCCAGCCCCCGGTGGCTGGGCTGGCTTTGTTTAGCTCTGGTTGGTGGCGGGAGAGGGCAGGGAGCGAGGCTCGGTGTTGCCTCTGCGGCTCCCTAAGTGATCAGAACGGCGTTCAGTACTTGTCCACTCTGCTCCCCGCAGGGAGACGGGCGGACCAGGAAACCCCGGGTCCTGGGCACCCGGGCCTGGGAGGGAAGAGCGTGGCTCCACGGCGGGACCGGACTCCGGGAGGGATGGGCGGCGGCGGGGGCTCCGGGAGGGGCGGGCGGCGGGGGCTCCGGGGCCGGGGCTCCGGGAGGGGCAGGCGGTGGCGGCGGCGGCGGCGGGGGCTCCGGGGGGGGGCGGGCGGCGGGGGCTCCGGGGCCGGGGCTCCGGTAGGGGCGGCGGCGGGGGCGCGCCTGGCGCGGGGCCGGGAACACGCGGTGCCGGAAGCGCATGTGACTGTGACTCCGCGGAAACAAAGGCGCTCAGAGCCGCCCCGCTCCGGCTGGCTCATCGGGCCGCGCCCTCTGCCCACGGCGGCCTGGGGCTTTGCCTCCCGACCGACACGGGGTGCGGGACCCCGGAAAGCCGGGGGTCGGGGGGGCCGGGGGCCCGGGGAGCGCGGGCGGGGAGCGCAGTGCTCCTGCGAGGCGTGGAGCGAGGGGCGATGCAGGGGCCGCTGTGTTCCCCGTGGCTCCTGCACATTAATTGCCCCGATGATTCTGTGATGGGGTGAGGACAGGCCCTCCTGGCTACCCCAGGGCGAGGCTTTCCGCCTAAAGCGACAGGACTGTCCACCAGGGCCCGCTGGGCAGCGCGCTCGCTCCTCTTCCAAATAAGGCGGTGAATTGGGCCCACGGACGGCCACTTTCCAGTCGCTGCAGGGGTGCAGTTTCCTACAGGACACCCGGAGGAGGGGCAGCATGGGGCAGCCAGCTGGCACCGGGCAGGGAGGGGATGGCAGCTGAGGGCTGCGCCAGAAGCTGGAGGAGGGGGGATGGATAAGCGACCCCCAGACAGCCACCCTCCTCTGCAGCTTCCTCACCGCCGCTGCCTCAGCTCTACAGGTCCTGGTGGGAGCGGCCTCTCTCTGCACTTTCCCCAGCCTGACCCGGGTCGGGTGGCCCTCAGGGACCCATTTGGTCCCGGCTAGGTGAACAAGAGAGGCGGAGCAGGCAGGCAGTGGGGACGGTGGATGCCAAAGGGACCCCAATGGTCTGGAGAGTGCCACCTGGCTCCCGCCTCCGCAGTCTGCATCCTGTGCTCAGGTGTCCACCTTTCCAGGAAGCCTTCATGCCCCCCCCTCCCCGCCGCCTCCCCCCTCTGGGCACAGGCACTTCCCACACTCCCTGGCCATGGCCTTTCCACTTCCAGGAAAGAACCAACTCCTCCTGCTCCCCTGCTGTGTCCCCAGGCCAGATATCTGCGGAGCCACCGAATAGGTGGAGGGTACTCCAAGTTCCTCTAAAGCCGATGGCATCCCTTGATTAGGGTTTTCTCCGTAGAGAAAGGCGGAGGCCAGCGCCGTGCAGCACAAGTTCCTGTGATGACGGGAGCTTTATACGTCCACCTCCGTATGGTGGCCACAGAGGGTATCAAGCACTCGAAATGTGACGGGTGTGACTGAGGAAATGAGTTTTTAACAATACTGTAATTAATCTAACTAACCACCTATGGTTTGTGCTCTCCTATTTTTCCAAGTGTGTTGCCTTCCCAAGGGTGAGGGAGGGGCAGTGGTGGGTGAGAAAGCTGCGGGGGGGAGAAGGGGTGGCGGGAGGATAGGTCTGGAGGAGCCTGGGAGGCCTCCCTAATGGGCACAGGGAGCCAGTGAGGCCCTGAGCAGTGCTGGCTGTGGGAGGAAGGTGTTGCATGAGGATTGCTCTAGCTGTGAGGTGCTGACGGGTTGAGGGCAGCAGAGAGGCCGGAGGACAGTCAGCAGCTGCAGATAGCTCTGTGGTCCGGGTGAGAGATGACACCCCTTGGCTTGTTTGCCAGGCCAGTGTCCCTCCGAACATCTCATTCCCATTTCCTCTCACCCTGCAGGCCAAACTGTATAAAAGTCTAAGCAGGGTCACCAACTGGGTGGGTGGGGACCAAGTGTTGGACTTGGTGAAGAAACCATATATCACTCAGCTGCTTACCTGTCTCCGTGGGCTGGGAAGGGCAGAGCCGAGGAAGCATGTAGTGGGATGGCCGTGGAGCTATGGTCACCTACCCTGAAGACCACACGGGCTGGGGCCAGAGTGTGCTCAGCGCAACCCTCCAGCAAGCTTTCAGCTTTGGTTTCCAAAGAGGCAGCCTGACCTTGGGGAAAACCTGGGCTCTGGAGACCAAAGGACCCAAGCATGAATCTGCTTCAGTCACTCACGGCTGGCCTGAGCTTAACCTCTGTTCTTCACTTGAAAATGGAGCTAATAATACCTGTTTCTTAGGGTTGTTGTGAAAACGAGACAAGGTATATATGAGATGCCCTTAGTCTAACTCAGAGCCTGACATATCTCTAGTGGAATCTAGTAATCATGCTAACTGCAAACAGGCCAAGCCTGGCTCTGGCCCCACCTGCGTACGCCACGTGCAGGGGCTCCTCCGGACTGGGCTTCCCCGACACAACACACATACGTGCGGCCTCTAGGTATTACAGGTGCTGTGGTTGTTGTTCTGTTTGCCCGCCTGATTTCCCATTCCTGGGAACACCACCCACTTCTCCCTCCATTGGACCAGGCATGTGACCTAGTTCTGGAGAGAGAGAGAGAGAGAGAGAGAGAGAGAGAGAGAGAGAGAGAGAGAGAGAGAGAGAGAGAGAGGCCACGTTTCCAAACCTGAGCTGCAAATGGCCACCCTCCTCCCCACGTGCACAGAGCCCGTCGGCAGAGGTCAGGCCCAGACCAGAAGATAGTCTTGGAGACATGGAATGCTGCTCTAAGGTCCCAGCTTTTGCCATCGGACTCCTCCCAGCAGTGAGAGCTAGAATTTTTTTTTTTGGGGGGGGGGAGTATAGCCTGGTGGGAGTATGGCCTCTGCTATTTTTAAAGAGGACACCTGCTCGGTACAGGCACTGTGACCTTGAGGTTTGGGGCCATTGAAGGAGTTCCCTGAAGCACAGAGGTAGTGGTGGAACCAGAATTCAGACTTGTCTGGCTGGCTCTAAACCCACCGTAAACTGCCCCACACATCATTCACTGTATTTACTGAGGGTGTTCTCTGGGCCCAGCACCAACTTCGCATGAAGGGCTCCCCTCTCTCCCTTCGTTCCCACTCTCCAAGGACTAGGGGGATATTAGAAAAGCAGCCCTTCCCCACCGGGATAGGGCCTTGCATGCTCACTGTCCTCCCAGATCAATACTCCCCAGAGTCCTCCTCACGCACCAAGGATCTGAGAGGAGCCAGCCGCCTGCCTACCTACCACCTACCTCTGACTGCTCAACAAGGAGTAAGTCCCAGCTCTGGCCCACGGCCCCTGGGCAGAGATCCTGCCTGCGCCCATTATGAGCAGTGATGATCCTGCTGGCCTGCTTATCTTTATGGAGACACTGAGGCCATTTTAAAGTTGCTTTGACAGCCCTGGCCGGGTAGCTCAGTTGGTTAGAACATGTCCCCGTACCCCAAGGTCAGGGACATATAAGAACCAACTAATGAATGCTTAAATAAGTGGAACAACAAATCTCTTTCTCTGTCTCTGTCTCTGTCTCTGTCTCTGTCTCTGTCTCTCTCTCTCTCTCTCTCTCTCTTTCTCTTCCTCTCTCTAAATCAACCAATCAGTAAAAAACAAAATAAAATTGGTTTTGATCTAAATTCTCCCAGATATTCCTTTCTTTCTTTTGCAAATCTGGTTGAGCAGAAAGAGGGGTGTCGGGAGCAGGACTTTGGGATCATGGTTTCCAAATCTGGTTCTCAGAACAAGCATGGACGACGATGATGATGTTGCCAGACTA